GCAGTGTGTGTGCACCTCCAGCATGCAGTGTGTGTGCACCTACAGCAGCACACGTCGCCTTTCATGCCACATAGAGATCATACTTTATTTCAGTTATACTTGAACAAGAAACTGTTCTTGTTAAAAATCTGTCAGAAGTAGGAATGTGGTGTGTGCCTATAATCCAGCACTTCAGAAGCAGAGGCAGGAGAACTGTGAGTTCAAGGACTGCCTGGTCTACATAGCAAAAATCAATCAATCAATCAAACAAACAAACAAAACAAAAAAAAAACCCCTAACTCTTAAAAAGAATATCAGAAGGAAGAAGAAGAGGAGGAAAAATAGGAGGAAGAAGAGTTGAGTGATGTTTGTATGGGTGCTCCTATATGCTGGCACACAGCTGTGCTAGGATACAGATGGTTGGGCATGGTCCACAGGTGTGCTGCATCCCTGCATCCCTGCATCTCTAAGCTGACACTGGAGCTCGCACTTTGGATCTCACTCGCACAGAGGATGCTCTGTCATGGGGCTGCATCTTCATTCCTCTTCTTTCCTTTTTTTTTTTTTGTTGTTGTTTTGTTTTGCTAAGGCCAGAGATCTGCAGGCAGCCCCAGGCCTGTATCTGACCCAGAGTTTCTGACAAATTTGAAAATAGCTGCATTTTAGCAAGTTCCCAGGATGGCTGCGGCGACTCCAAACACTGTGCTCTGAGAGCTGCTGGTTTATATGATATAAATATCAAATGATTTTGTAAATTCCATACAAATATAATTGAATTAGTGTCTAAATTGTGTGGTTACTAATGGTATTGAAGTTGCATTTGAACCTTTAAGCTAATAATGTTGGTCAATGATAATTAATAATTCAGTGTGTCAAACTGGATGAACAGAGACGGTCACCTGACACTGAAGTTCTCTCATGTACCCGGATATAAGCCTCGTGTGACTGTCCTCGTTCTGAGAATAAGGCCTGTTCTGAGAATTCAGTGTGAGATTTTTTTTTTAAATAGCCAGAGTACTTTTGAGAATAATCTGATAATTAATAGGCAATTGATTTCCTCTTTAAAAAAAATATACAGGGAGTGGCTCCCTGTATTGCCTCCGCCCTGGCTCCATTCTGGGCAGACGGCATGAGGGAGTGTTTCCTACCTCGGCTTGGAATGACCAGTTTGCAGGGCAGGGCCAGTGGGATGACGGAGTGCTGATAGACCAGAGCAGACAGGGAGCCTGCGGGGAGAGAGAACACACCAAGCACAGTGACGAAGAGGGACTGGAAAAGAGACACAGGGAACCCCACCCCATTCATCCACACCTTCCCAGTATCTGTCACATGCGTGGGGGCATGAGCCACATCCCAGCCCCCAGCTTCCTCATCACCACTTCCACTGACAGAGTTGAAAACCTGCCCTTTACACTGAGAATTCCCAGGGGACCTAGCTACTTTCCTTGGTAGCCATGCCCCCTAACTCCCCATCAGACCAGTGCAGCAGGAGAACGGTGGTGACATCAGATCCCAGCTCTGTCGCTTATCTGGAGCACCCAAGTGGCACTTACACATTCTTCATGTGCAAAATGGGGAGAATGACAGCTACCGTGCAGGACTGCCATGACACCAGAGTGACATGACTCCTAGATAGTGACTCTCACATATTGGGAGCCAAGGACAGCCATTCTTACTGCGGTTATTTTAATGTACGGACAGCCGGCCTCATCTGAGCAAGACAAATACAGAAAGGAACCGGCAGAGTGGAGGAGCCACAGTGCACAGTATGTAACCAGGAGGTGAGGCCAGGTTTCAATAGGACTTTGTAAAAACAGCAGCAGTTCCTTCCTTCTGCCAAAGCCATGCCCAGGTGGACTGGCAGCATTGAGATACAAATAACTTGGGCCAGAACCCCTGAGGACCAGGATAGAGGTCAGAATGACAAGCCAAGATGCTCACCAAAGTTTGGCTCATTGGGACAACCCTTGAGCTTGACTCCTCTGGGGCCGGTCTCTATCAGGAAGTGCCTCACCAGCTCATGGGTCATGTCTCCTGGAAGGGAAACGAGGAAACAGAATTGGTCACTCATTGTCACAGCACCCGCCCCCCTCCCAACACTGTCTCATAGCTTCTGCAGTGTATAGGGTAAGATGGGAGAGAAGGTTACTGAGGCAAGGTGGCCAGAGTCCTGTGGATGAGGATCACCATTCACTCCCCTATGTGGAATAGTACTTTAACTATGTGAAGGTGTGTTACGTATGCTTACACTGCATTTGTTTAATTATGTAAAGATGTGTTGCTATTCTACCTTGCCTGCCTAAGGCACCCGATGGGTCTAACAAAAAGCTGAATGGCCAATAGCTAGGCAGTAGAGGGATAGGTGGGGCTGGGGACAGAATAAGTAGAAGAAATCTAGGCTCAAGAGAACAGAGGAGAGGAAAAAAAGAGAAGCAAGAACTAGGGAGAAAGAAAGGGAGATGCCAGACAGTCAGACATGGAGTAAGACAACAGAAGGAAAGAAATCTAAAAAACCCCAATGCAAAAAAGATGAAGAGAAACAGGTGAATTAAGTTATCAGAACTAGTGGGACAGGCGTGAGCTAAGACCAGGCACTCATAACTAATATTATGTCTCTGTGTCTTTATTTGGGAGCTGGTTGTTGTCCCAAAAGAAAGCCTGTGACACTCTCTTCCGTTCCTCCAGGAAACACCCCACACACACCAAGTTCCAATGACTGCTGTCCCCAAACCACCCCTCACTGTCCTCCAGCTTCTCGGGGACCATCCCTCGTGAGTGAGAACCCTGCTCAGCACCCAAGGCTCTGAAGAAAGCAAGAAGCCCCAGCCTGGCGGGGAGAAGACACTACCTTTCTTGCCCTGCTGAGCGATGGTTGGAGGGGGCGAGGACACCTTCATGGCCAGCCCATAGGCCCCTCGGAAGGAGTGGCTGTCACGGATGATGAAGGCGCCTGGCTCCTGATCCTTCAGGAGTGCAATGGCTGAAATGAGAGATGGCAAAAGAGTTGTCAAGAAACCGGTGGCACTGGCTTGGCCTCCGAGGACCCCCTCTTCTCTTAAGATGACACTCTCCAGCGCCAGGGTGGAAGCAAGCACGCCGGGGGGGCCCTCCTGTCCCAGGCAAAGCAAATGTCTTCTGCAGATGGCCAGAGCGAGCCAGTTCTGGAGACCATGCCATCTGCAGCCGCTACTCAGCACAGCCACAGGACGGGAAGCAGACAGTGTGTGACTGGGAAATGTGACACACTCATTTCCAGAAAAAGAGAGGGTCTGTAGGCCCTCCCTGCTGACCCTCATTCTACAATGATGGGCTTGCCTTGAGACCCTGAGGTGGGCTTCACCCTCAGGCCTACATGCCAAACTTGGCTTTTTGGTTTTTCTTTCTGCATAATAATGATGATTATGATAATAATGATAATGATGATGATGATGATGATGATGATAATAATAATAATAATAATAATAATAATAATAATAATAATATCTTTCACATCATGGTTTCAGACATCCTTGACTGGCATTTTACTTTGGAAAAGTCAAGAGTTTGCTTGACCACTCTAAGGATCTGCTTCTAACAGCCCCACCCCTTTACATGGGAAGTGCTTTTTCCTTTCTGACTCTGATCCCAACCACTCTCTGTGACTACCACCTACTGAATGGAGGAATGAGTTCTTGCCCATGAGTGGGAGTTCATGATGTCTTCCAATGGGCCACCAAACCAATAATGCTGTCCCCAACTCACCCTGCTCTCTGGAGATCTCAGGCTTGTACCAATACTTGGAAGTGTCTTGAACAAACTTCACTTTAGCCCGTGTCTCGGGACTATTGTCTAAAGGAGGAAGCGAAGGGAAAGTGTTACCCTTGAATTGCATGCTCCCCAAAAGGTGTCAACGTCCTAACACCTCAAGCCTACAAATATGGCCTTATTGAAAAGAGGGTCCGTGCACATGTAATCAAATTTAGACCAAGGCATGACAGACCAAGGTGAGACCTAATCCAACATGACAAATGTCTTTCAAAGTAGAGAAGAGACAACAGACACAGGGAACTGTTCCAGGTGAATATAGAAACGTCTATAAACCAAAAGACACAGAAGCACCTCTGCCAACATCTGGATTTTGATCTCTGGCCTTTGCTATGACAGAATCTGCCTCTATTTTTCTAAGTTAGCAAGTGTGTGCCGGCCCCAGGAAATAAACCCAAAAGCTAGATCCTCAAACATCTGAGAACGTGGTGGGAGGTACCCAGTAGCCTTCTCCTGCTAGCCACAGCCTTTGCCTGGCTACTCTGTGGTTAACGGACCTGGCAGACATCCACTGAGCTAGTGAAAAACCCTTTCCCCACCCCATTCCCCGTGCTTAGCAGATTCTGATTTAATTCTCCCCACTTCCCTCCCCCAGGTCGATACCTCCCTTCTCCTTGCACTCTTTCCCCCAAGCTCAATCTGAGATCCATGAACAGAGGACAAGAAGACCTATGTCTCTCTCCTGTGACCCATCCCCTCTTGATACCCACACTGAAAGTGACATTCTATAGCAGTATAGTCAAGAGCACTCTACCCTCCAACATCTCGACCAGGGAATGACCAGTACTCTAGTGACCACTAACAGGGTGTCACACACAGTCAGATGATATCCTGTTCAGTCGCTCTGCAGTCTCTTCCTGAAAACACTATATTGTAGAGGGGGACTGGATAAGATTGAGTCCAACGATGGCCTTCCCCTGGAACTTGCCACGATCCTCTTCCTCCCAGTGCGGGGACTATAGGCAAGTGTTGCCGTGTCTGGCTCCTTCTCATATCTTTATGCTCTGAGCCTCTAAGATCCTCAACCTTGATACTTTATGAAATAACTTCCAGATTGTTTCGAACTGTAGTCACCGAACTACGCAGTGGAGTGTCAGAACTTAGCCTAGCTTTCTACCTTCCGCCCAAAGCAGGAAAAAAAAAGCAAAAGGGCAGGAAGAAGGAAAAGGGTGGAATCCACTTTCACAGTTCCTCAGTCCTTTGTGTTAGAGACTGAAGCAGGGGGCACCTTGTTGAAGATGCTACCAAGATAGGAGAGAAGGGCCCAGCAGCTGCAGCCAGGGGCCTTGGTTCTCAGGGGCACCTGGGCTCTGTCTCCAGGGGCCTGAGAGGACTCATCTCCGTTCCCAGGCGAGGCAGCTAGAAATGCCTCTGCTGCAGGCGCCTGGCCCTTCTCTGAAGCCAGGCCATGGGTGATCTAAGGAGCTGTGAGAAGCGGCTGCAGTCCTGTGTGTCTTCCTGTGTTGACTCCAGAGGCTATTTTAAGTAGGCAAGATGGTGGGAAACAGGAAGTGTCCTCCGAACTACTAGAAACTTCGCATCCTTCAAGGATTGGGGCTGGGAACCAGATGTCCCCAGTAGGCGGCAGGAAGCAGGGGAGTGCAGGGTCACTTTAAGTGTCCCAGCCTGGAAGGACCTGGAAGGACACAGGACTCAGAGAGTCTGGGTGCCTCGGGGCCATCCCGGGCTGTTTATAATTGTCTGTATCTGCCTTGGACGCAAGTAGCCTCAGGGCCCCCTCACACAGGGACGAGGTCTGGTTGCAAAGGTGCAGACCACCCGAAGCCTTGAACTTTATGTTTAGAGAGTGAGACCAGACTGGGATGGAGAACTCATCCTGCAGGACGCAGGTCAGTGCAAACAAGGCTCTGCTAAAGCATCTCACCCTCAGCCTTTACCCTGTCCCGCCCACCACCTGGCCCATGGTTAACTGATGTATGGGGCTGACAACAGTCATAGAGGTCCTGGACAGCAGAGGGTCAAAGTTCAGTTAAGTCACAGTATCCCTCATTCCTCAAATAGCGAATACATGGTGAAGACATTCCTATCATGCGTGTGTGTGTGCGTGTGTGCAGGAGTGTGTGCATACGTGTGCGTGTGTGTGTGTGTGTGTACGTATGTACGTGCCAAAACCTGCATGTGGAGGTCAGAGGACAACTTTGGGTGTCAGATCTTGCCTTCCACCTTGTTTGAGGCAGGACCTCTTGTTCATTGCTGCATATGCCAGGCTAACTGGCCTGCAAGCTTTTGGGAAATCTCCATCTCCTATCAGGAGTACCGGGATTATAAACACACACTACTGCATTCAGTGTTACACAGGTTCTCAGGATCCAGACTCAGGGCCTCCTGTTCGTACAGCAAGTGCTTTGCCCCCTGTGCCATCTCCTCTGCCTCAAGAGCACTCCTCTGGGGGTAGCATGGGCCCGGATTGGAAGTCAGCTCTGTCACTGATTAGCAACATAATGCCGGCCAAAGAACAGAAACTCTGTGGGCCATAGAGTGTTCCAATATAAAGCAAAGGTAATACCTACTTCCCTGGGGGCTGGAGGGTTACATGAGTACTTAGCTCAGGCTACCCCAATGCATGTGCTCAACAGGAGGCTACAACAGTGATGTCCATTCAAACAGCAGCATGCCGTTCACCCTCCTCATCTTGCACACCTTCATCACCACAACCCCATCCCAGCCACGTTTTAAAGACACAGCTCCTTCTACAGGCAAGGAACTCAGGCCTAGACGTCAGTGACCAACCCAAGTTTATCTGCCAAGGGATAGCTAGGGCAGAGGTCCTAACACTTGGGCGGGTAGAAATAGAAGAGACACACCTGGCATAGAGTACTTGGAAAAGTCTGGAAGCGTGTGGGAGAAGGAGACTGTGCTGCTCCCACTGGGACTGGACATTCCATTGGCAATGGGTGAGGAGGACACTTTCCCGTTGATGGTGGCATAGTTGGGGAGGCTGCCTGCCCGGTCTCCCATAGACATCCTCCGCTTCTCTGGCAAGGCTGGTGTAGGGCTCCCTTGCCGGAAGGCTGCTGAGTCTGGTGAGGGTGAGGTGGCAGGGCTGCTCAGGCCAGGGTAGTAGGCAGGGGAGACAGGGAAGGAAGGTGTGGAAGGAGCCTGGTAGCCAGAGGCGCTGCTTTGCCGGGACAGTGTTGGTCGTCGGTCCTCGGGAGTAGAGTAGCCTCCATAAGCCGCATGCCGGTCCAAGCTGGGGCTTCCAGGAACCACAGATCCAGATCCACCCAGGTGCCGGCCCAAGCTGGGACTCCCAGGGCTGATGATTGCATTGCCATGGAGATTGGAGGCCAGATTTCCTTGGTGGGCCCCGGGGTGTCGGCCCAGGCTTGGGCTTCCCGGAGTGGTGGCCACGCTGCTGTGGAGGCCTGGAACCTGGTGGCTTCCCACTGGGTGCCGGCCCAAGCTGGGACTTCCAGGCGTGGTCGCTGTGCTGCTTGGGTGGCTAGAAACCACATTACCATGGAAACCAGGGCCCATCACCTGCCGGTGGCTCAAACTAGGACTGCCAGGGGCAGCCATGGTGGGATTGATAGCCCGCCGGCCAAAGCCAGGGCTAGGTGGAGTGTTGGTGCCCACTGTCCTGTGCCGTGCCTGAGGGCTCCCAGGCACCGTGTGGACGGTGGCCGCACTGAACTGCGGCTGGGCTTGGCTCTCGGGAGTAGAGCTGAGTGGCTGATGGGAGTAGTCAGGGCTGCTGTAGCTGCTGCCGCCAGCCGGCACCGGTGATGAGCTTCGGTAACTGAGTGCTGCCAGACTCGGCTGCCCCAGGCTGCCTGAGCGGATGCTGGAGTCTAGCATGGGCTGGATGGGTGTCCGTGGACCCTGGTCACTGCTCCCCCCTGATGGGAAACTGCCCACGAAAGTGCTAGAGAGAGAGAGAGCGCGCAGGTAGAGAGGTCAGTGGGTGATATTTAATAGAGCGGACTTTTGCTGAGTGGCCCGCATCCATCAACCACTAAGAGCAATAAGAGCTCCACTCCGGGTAGAGGAAGTCGGGCTTTTATACATTACATAACGGATCCATGGGAAAAAGAAGCCAATGGCCAGAGAATTTAAACAGTAAGCTCAGAACCACAAAGGTCTAAAAGGCCAGGCTTCAACTCAGCTGCATCTGACTCCAAAACCCACCCTTTCTTTACCATACCATGCTGACTCCTGACCCATCATGAGTCAGAGCAAAGCAATCACCATGGAAACTGAAGGCAACTGTCCCAGTGTAGGCCTTAGCACCACAGAAACTTAGAGAGGCAGTCAAGTCGCCTGACTCTATTCCCACTAGGGCTCAACTTGACTCGGTTTCCCTAGGTGGTTTATCATCCCCTCAGGGTGCTTTAGCTCCTAGGTGATTCCAGAAAGCAAAGAAACAGAATCACATACAGTGGGTATCACAAATGAGGCAATCTCAGCTCCTTTGGAGGTCTATCTTCAGCACCCCCCTGTCTGCCCACTAATGGCACAAGCTGCCTCTGCCTGGTCATGAGGTTGCTGTGATGTAGGCGCAGGCTAGGCCCAAAGCTCTGCCCGTGGATGATGTGATGGAAAAGAACAAGGTTGCCAGGGACCAGGGTAGGCAGCCAGTAGAGCGAGGTGGCAAGCAGCTGATGCTTAGGAGAGCCAGGGAAAAGGGGGGCCTTACAGAGCGCAGGGCTGCAGGTACAAGAGGATTCCCTCCCTGTCTGGCTCACTCGGGTGGCTACCAGGAGTGTCTGTCCACCAAGATGCCCCTCCCTCGTGGGCTGCCCTTGTGCTACAAACACCACAGTTCTCTGTCCCTCTGACCTACATCTTCACCCCAAGACATCCCGTCATCCTTCTGGGTTCCTGCTAGACCATCACCCTTCAACATCCTCTCCACCTCCCCGGCTAGAAGTAGCCGCCCCGGCTTTGTGCTCCAAGCACTCATTTTTGGTCCGGTGCAGGGCACAGGTGGCTCTTGTCTATACCCGATCACTCAGGTCGGTGGAACAGAGAAAGAAAGACGTGACCTCCGACACTTACGCCCATAGGTTGAAGCCTGTTTCCGCTACAGCTCAGCTACTGCCCCTTTGAGCCTCAGTTGTCCCTTCTGAGAAGTGGGAACAGTAAAGGTTGGCTCTTGGGACTGCAGCAAAAAGCAGCTAACAGCCCGAAGCTTTGAGGAGAGCAGCCTGCTGTGTGCGTGGAGCTTTCTGCACTCTTGGTTACCATTAGCAGAAAGGACTGTTCACTGGTCCCTTTCTCTCAGGTAGAATGGAGCACAGCCTGAGAGCCTTGCTCACCACCTCGACTCCCTAAAGTTGGATGCCCAGAAATCCCCTCTCCCTAGGCCTTATAGCCGTCTGGATGGGATTTTGCCCATCTGTAGCCTACACAGCTCCTCTGCTGCCTGGGCCTCGGGCCCAGAGACTCATCCTGCACTCCCCATGCCTAGCTCACCTGTCAGCACTGAGGATGGGACTGCTTGTTGAAAGGGGGCTGGGGGAGACGAAGGAGCCAGCCGGGGTCCCGTTCCTCAGGGGTGTCTCATGCCCATAGGCGTGGGCAGTCGGGGCACTGAAGCTCTTGGGCTCGACATCCTGAGTTCGAGGTCCTGACACCGCTGTCCTTGCCACAGACTCCACATAGCTCCGGGGCTCTGGAAAAAATAAAGGGACAAAGAATGAACACAGGTGTGGTAGGAATCCACCCACCCTGCCAGGGACTACAACACCCCAGAATCCGGCCTGGGAAAGAGGCAGCGTGAAAACCCTCCACAAGATCCCAGGGGTGCTTTACTGAGGCTCCTGTTTGCCCATACTTCCCAACCTCAGGCAAACTTTAAGGGGCACTGGCTTCTCTAAGCTCCACCTCTGTATCTTAGGCCACCAGCATCTTCCCCTAAAGACTTAAATGCCTGTTTGTCCATGGCTGGCATTCCCTTTGCAGCCTCATTTCTGCTCAGCCCTACCCAGGCTCCTAGCACAGTTTCAAAGCTAACACCTGACTTGGCCCACACCTCGGGATAGTACCCAGCTCACTCGTCAAGCAACACCCAGTGCCAGCCACTGCAGACTCACCAGCCCCTTATTGGCAAGAACCCCACCCACTCCTGCACAACACACTCGGCATTCCTTCCAGACTGATGCAGAGAACTCTGTGCCTGGGTGGAGCCAGACGTTCTGTGACCACTACAGTACAACCAGCCCACCAGGCCCTGCACAGAGAGGCGTCATACACAGTATCCCTGACCTAGTGTTCAGAGGAACATTGGTTACAGACAGGTCATTTGACAGATGGGAAGACTGAGGCCGGAAGAGTAAAATGACCCAGGCCCTGCGACCTCAGAGGCTAGCCTTCTACTAACTAGAAGGGATCAGGGCTCTGGGTTTCTAATGTCATTGCCAACACCTAGGAGCCTGTCATCATCTTTGTTGCCCCCGAGGGACAAGATCTGAGCATAGATCCCTAGCTGCCACAACCAGAAAATTCACCAAAGCCAATCTGGGAAATGAAATTCACCTGGGACAACCAGGCCCTGCAGCCCTTGGGGCCAGGATTCCGGTGGCCTGAGTAGGAGAGCCCCTCCCCAGGTTCACCAAGGAAAGCCTTAAAAGGGAAGGTGAGGTAACTAAACTGAAAGCTTGCTTCCTCAACTGGAGGGAAACCTGGCTTGGGAAGGAGGGAGTTATCTGGGATGTGCAGAAACCAGACGCCATAGGAGGTCCCTCGACATCCACACTCAGCCCCTGGTCTGCAAGAGCAGTCACCTGGACATGCCTCCGGGCTGGGGCTCAGCTGGTGGGGAGAGCCAGCAAAAGCTCCCTCAAGCTACTCAGGTCACACTCACTTCACAGGATTCCCAGGTCAACCTGACATAGGAGGTGTGGACTCTGGCCTCCCCAGGCCCGGCACTGTGGAGGGGGATATGACATGAGGTCCTATGACACAGGCCTGGTCAGACTCTCTGCAAATAGCTTAGGTGGGATGGTCAGACGGTCTCTGTCGCAATCACTCAGCCCAGCAGTCATGGTGACCGCGGCTGCAAACAACAGCTCAACGAACAGGCACAGCTATTTACGACAGAGTTTTCTTTAGAAAAATAGGTAGTAGGTGGACTTGCCAGCAGCCACAGAGTGCTGAGTCTATCTAACCTGTCCCCTGGTCCCAAGACACAAAGCCAGCCAATAGCCGTGGACAGTACCAAGTCTCCAACCTCACAATATAGATTCTGGCTGGCCTAAGGGAACCCATAGTCTCATGGGGACATCAACATGTGAGCCAGAGGAATGCCAGGTTCACAGGGTCACCCACAGTGACAAAACCAGTCAAGAGCGGTTTAAGATCTGAAGGAAATAAGTACCCAGGCAGCATGGGGCAGAGGTAACACAAACACCCAGGTAGACAATCTTCCAGCCTGCTGTTACTCAAAGGTCAGGAGACCATCCAAAGTTGGGATTCCATCCCTGCCACTCCCTCTGAACATTCTCCATGTCCTTCAAGGTGCTCAGCACAGTTCCTCTTGTTTCCCCGTGCCACGCAGCAATCCTCTCTCACCCAGACAGCCCTGCTACCCTACCCATAGGCTTCACTTGCCTGACAAGGTTTCCGGGCACCAGCCGCAGCACCATGCACAGAGGACTCTGTGTGTCTCTCACAGATTCAGAGCCACACCCAGACGTCACCTCGAGTAAGCAGTCAGACTCAAAGGCACGCACTCGGCCATCTTCACTGCTCGGAAAGCAAGCTGAAGCCTACACCAGCGGTGCTCTGACTCATGTGCCTACCCTCCCCCACACCACCTTTATCTGCTTCCCCAATGGCTACATTTTACCTACTTACCCCCTAGGCCGCTTGCCCTATGATTCCAGATGGCTTTGACTTTGGCTTTTGGCTGGAGTGGTTGAGTCTTTACTGACAGGGGAGGAAGGGAGAGAGGGAGGAAGGGAGAAGATGGGGTTATAGCCCATCCTCTATTCCCAGGGTACTAGCTCATTCTGGGTGGGGTAGGAATAGCTCCCACCCCTGCTAAGAAGCCCACAATCAATCACCCAGTTGCCCCACTAGAAAGAACCATGCACTTCTGCCAAGATCTCAATCCACACATTAGGTAAGCACCACACTCTGTGCTTAATTCTCTTTTCAAAAAGTCCATATTCTGCCAACAGAAAGCTCAGAGAAAGCCCACAGCCGGAACAGAGCCGCACCCAATCAACCTAGGCGGCGACTCTGCCCCAGCTGAGTGCCCACTCCACTCCCCTGCAAACCTGGAGTAAAAACAACTCACCCGCCTAGGATGGAGGCATGTGAGAAAGGACACGTCCTTTCAGCTCCCGGCAATTCTGGTTGGGTCCACATTGGTCTTTGACCTCAACCTCCCACCGCCCTTGCATACTCCCTTCCTGGGGTGGGGGTGCAGGGTCACATCTCCTCCTCCTCCTCCTCTTCTAGTCCCCTAGGGAGCAGCTGACCCACAGGCCACCCAGCTGGGGAGGGCAAGAGAAGTGGAGCCCAGCGGGGGGTGGGAGGGTGCTGCATGGGTAACATTCCAGGAGCCCGAACCATTCCAAGTGGCTGCGGGCGGGCGGCTGAGAGCGAAGGGACACAAGAGTGACTGATTCCTCAGCCGGGACTGCCGGCTCTTCATCCACATTCTCAAATACATTACCTTACTGAAAAAAAAAACAAAACCCTCTGGCTGAAGACAAGGGGCCAGCATTGCCCACCCTAATAAGATAAAGACATGGGGGTGTGGAGAAGGCTTCTATGGTCTAGCACTTGCCCAACCTGCAAGGTCCTGGATTCAATCCAGCCCGCAATAAATGCATACATAAGTGAAATACCAAGGGCATGGGTGGTGGAGAAGAAAAAAGCAAGGCTTCCTCGAGCCCCAGATCTAGAGATAGCATTGGGAGTGGGCCACATGTAGCCTCCTCCAAGCCCCCAAGCACCCCTCCATATCTCTGCCTCCCCAGGTACCTTACCTCCCCCTCCATATCTTCTGGCTCATGGTAAGATCTCTGCCCTCCCCAGGTACCTTACCCATCCTTAGCCCTTCAGGGTCTAATGCAGAGCCTCGTGCAAAGCAGATGCTGGGCAACTCTGTACCCTGTCACCTGTTCTGATGCCCCCCCAACACCACGATCACCCAGAATCTCAGAGGCATCAGAGTCCCCAGAGTCCAGTGTCTTCCTTTATAACAAGTCTGTCCTCATGGAGTCACTGGGGCAAACAGAACCTGGCATGGAAATCCACTGTGGCATGCTCTCTCTCTCTCCTTCCCTCCCAGAGAAGGACTCTGTTAGATGCTCAGGTGCCCCTTGTACTGTGTGCACCCACCAGAAGGGCCAGCCCCCACATGACAAAATGACACAGATTCTCAAATGGCCCTGATCCCTATGAGTCTGCTTAGTCATCTAACCCCTCCCTCGTCGATAAGATGGAGCCCATAGCACCTTCCTCTCGGCTGCTAGGAATAGTACAAAATAATGTGACAGTGGCCCCCACAGGGCCTGGCTCTTGCCTGTTACTCCAGACCTCAAGCACAAACACACACGCACTGGCTCTGTGCACTCATCTTCTTGGCTTTTAAGTTTCAGGAAGGGGGTTCTGGGGATACAGCTTAGTGGGTGATGTGCTTGCTACTCAAGGGAGAGAACCTGTGTTTGGATTCCAGTACCCACATAAAATCTGGGAGCAGTGGCATGTGTCTGTAACCCCAGCACTGGGGGAGAAGGGTATGTGGACAGGAGGATCCCAGAAGCTCATTGGCCAGACAGCTTAGCCGAAATGACAAGGTCCAGGTTCAGCAAGAGACCTTGTCCCCAAAAATAAGGTAAAAAGCAATAGAGGAAGCCACCCCACATGAACCTCTGACCTTCACACACACACACACATAACACACACATACACACATATATACATGAACACAGACACATACACACACACATATATACACATATTTACACATAAACACACACACACATATATATACATATTTACACATAAACACACACACACACAAGCTATGACATCCAAGCCCAGCCCCTATGTATGCTATTTTCCTCTTCTCTATCTTCTACCCAGGTTTCACCAGGTTAATATCACCTCATGTGCATGTCCACCCTTCATGGTACTTCTTTAGCCGATGGTCTCTCAAAGCTGTGTCCCCCCACCAAATGTTCTGTACATACCTCTTATTCCTATTCATGAAAATGTTCATGAGCTTTAGATATATATCTCATACAGTTATTATCTCCCCAGAGCCTGGCCCGTTGCCTGCTGCACAGCAGGTCCACAGAATGACTGACTCAATGCATCAATGAAGAAAAGAAGGCCATGAATGCATTTAGCCCAGTGGCTTGAACAGAGCAAACATCCCTCCGATTCTTCCTTCCCCAGCTGAAGAATTCTGCCACTGATCATTTTTCCTCACAAGCCTCTTTTTCTGATTTTCCCATCAAAGTATCAGCAAGAACATCAAGCATGGCTTCCGAGGGTCAACAAAGAATGTGGCCTGGGCTGACCCAGGAGGTGGCGCCTGAGTTAAGAAATGTTGAACTGGCACCGTGGCCTTAATGCCCTTGCCGCCCACTCCCAAGCTGGAAGCCCAGCCACCAAGCCTGGAAACAGGGGTGGGCTTAGACAGGGCCCTTTGACTAGGAAACAGGAGGCCCAGAATGTACTCTGGCTGGGCTGCCCCTTGGCTGTGATCTTGGGTGGGTCCCTCACCCCCACCATAACATAGACCTTAGTTACACATCCTTGAAAGCACAGGCGTGGCTGGATGGACCTCAAGAAACCTTCCCTTCAGAATTCCTCTGCTCTGATACAAGGACAGATGAAGGGTAGGAGACTCAAGGCCTTGTTAGCTGAGAGTCGTTTGTGAGGCACACTTGGGAGCCTCACTTCGGCTCTGTCAATAGTCATTCTTCCGGACGTCACCCCGAAGCAGAACACAGCTCCCAGAGCCTGGATGCCAACCCAGTGACTTTCTCCTTGGAGTCTGACAGCCCACTCATGTACTGAGCTAGCCACCCACACAAGGGACCTGAGCCTTTCTCTGCTGACAGGCACTGGGGTTGTGGGAAGCAATCTGGAGAAAGCTTGTCCCTTGCATGAGGTTGTCAGAGAGTAGCCTTGACCCCCAACTTCCCAGATCTGCAGCCTCCACACAGGCTGGTTAGAGACCAGCAAAAGGGACTGGAGAGATGGCTCAGCGTTCTAGATCACTTGCTGCAGAGGAAAGCGGACCTAAGAAAACCAAACTAAGCCCCTGGAGAAACAGCCACACAGAACCATGGGCCCAAGGTGGGACCATCTAACACAGAACAGCTAGAGGGGACCTTGGGGTTCACCTGCCTCATATCCCCTGTGGAGATGAAGACACCCACGCCCAGAGACACATGGGAACCACCTGGGCCAGCATCCCTTAGTCTGACCACCACAAGTCTCTGCTGAACTTCTGTCCTCCTGAGCTAACCTTCTCTGCCAGATTACAGCCCCTCTTCTTGTCCAGGCACAACGCCAGCCTCCCTTCAAACCCAGGGCTAGGCTGGCCTCAAAGCTGAGACCACTTGTGAACTTCTTGAAAGGATTTCTCAGGGAGGTGGATCAGTAGATAAAGATGCTTGCTGCCAAGCCTGACAAATCCCTAAGTTCGATCCCTCAATCAGCCATGGTAGAAGGAGAAAATTGATTCCCCTGACCTCCACACATATACCATGGCATTTCTGTGTACCCATGTGTAGGCGTGTGCACAGTATGCGCATACGCTGTGCGTGACACACACAAATAAATGTAATACATTTGTATAAACAAAATTATCTTTTGAAAAGGAAAGCAAGTGCTTCTCAGAATTGAGCATGGGTGTCCTGAGGCGCTTTTGTGGAAGAGAGCCCACAACCAGCCTGCAATGGCCACAAGAGCCTGGGTTTCAGAAAAATACACTTCCTGTCATGCCGACAGGAAACAAGTCACGGCTCTGTGGCTGTGTCTCTAAACCAGTGCTTCTGCCCCATTAAGGTTGAAGTTCCCCACAGACTCCGTCCCCAGCTGATGGCAATACTTGGAGAGGCTGTGGAGCCTTTAGGATGTGTGGAAATAAGCCATCCAAGAGTGGCCTTTTGAAGGGAATGCTTACCCCGATTCCCGCCTCTTTCTCTGCTTCCTGGTCTTCAATGATATGAACAGCCTTCATCGCACACTCCCACTGCCATCAATAAACTGCCCCACCCTGCCATTCCTGTCACAGGAGACTGAAGTCTCCTCAACCATGAACCCAAATACACCACTCCTCCATGTGCTGTCTGTCGGGTCACCCCGTCAGGTCGCTGTCACGGAGATACAAAAGTACCCAGCTCCTACCGACAGTCGATACTGGTTCTATTGAAGGCACTGTTGCTAGGTGAGTGTCACCAACACCCAGCAAGAGGAAGCCCAGCTTCACACCTTCAGTGCACACGGCAGCTTCGAGAAGGACCTGCATAGGCTTAAATGCCTGAGTGGCCAAGCGAGAGTTCTGCTCTTTCTGCCCCTCCCTGTCTGCCTCTGTGTACACTGCATTCCAGCCAGGTGGTGCATGTGCCCCTGGGGGAGGAAGCGGCACAAGGGGGATTTTTGTCAACAAGGTGGCACCATGCTGGCGCCTGGATACTCGCTGTGCCTGAACTGGTGCCCAGGCGGCATTCAGGCAGTGCCCAGAGTGGCATCTCATTGTCAGAAGGTGGGGACAGGAAGGCTATGTGCCTAGTCACTTGAGAGCAGGTGAGGAAAGAGATCTAGCCCCCAGCCGGCCTCCATGTGAAAAGCCATCCCCAGACCTAGAGAGCGGGAGCCACACACAGCAGAGTGCACTTACCTTCTGGAGGCTGAGTCACCTCCTCCCCCTCACCTTCCTCTGAGGGAGGAGAAGAGAGACAAGAGGAGGAGAGGCAGGAAGGGAGGGCAGATGATAAATATGAGAGGAAGATCCCAGAGGAGGGAGAGAGAGAGAGAGAGAAAAGAGAGGTTATCAGGATTATATCTAGAGAAAGAATTTGGTGAAGAAAGGGGGTCTGGAGGCTGGGATCCTCCTCCACACAGGACCCTGGAGTCCAGGTCCCTCTCAGCCTCTGCAGCCAGGGCTTGCGTGGACCAAGCATCAGATAGCAGCATGCTGGCTAGCGAGAGAAGGCCTCTGGCCCTTCGTCTCTGTGATGGCTGAGTGTATCTGCCCATGCTCGTACACCCTAAGTGGAGGCTGTGTCTCCGTGTCTGCATTGCTCACAAATGCATGTTACGCCCTCTTACCTGGCTGGATCAGTCTTCTGGTGACTAAGGAAGAAAGGAAAAGTTGACCCCCCGAGAGCTGCAGCTCAGCCTTAAACTAGCTCAGCAGACCCCTAATTGCCATAAAAAGTCCCAGAGGACCCCTGTCTCTCTCCCCTACAGAGGAAACTGGGGAATGGGCAGGACATAGAGGGATGGGTCTGGTAACCATCCACGTCATACTGTGACCTTCTCCCGAACATGGCCATCCACCCCATAACCAGTATAGGGGACCTTGGTGTGGTTGGGGGCAGCCCAGAAAGTTCCCAGAGCCCAGCTCCTATTCTTAACTACAGGGTCAAAGGTCGCCGACATTGGGCATGTGAACGTAAGGAGGAGCAGAGTCTGCTTTGGGGGTGCAGAGAAGACCCTGGGCGAATACTGAAATAACAGGGAGAGGGCAGACGGCATGGCTTCTGGGAGTGACCCATTTCTCAGGCAAAGCTCTGTGTGTGTGTGTGTGTGTGTGTGTATGTGTGTGTGTGGAGCTGGGAAGAAATAGCCCAAATACTTAAGCTCTGGCCTCTGATGTCACCAGGATGCTCAACCGAGGAGCCACTGGACTGTAGTAGGGGTGAGGGGGGCTGTCACCAAACAGCAGGCACGGCTCTCTACTGCACACCTGTGTGTATGCGCGCACACACACGCACGTGCTGGGACACAGCACTAACACAGGGCGCTAGGCTTCCAGCAGGGCTGACCAACTCCAACAGACCTGGGAGCGGGTCTCAAAACCCTAAGGCCCAGAAAGCAGTGGCAGGCAGGAAGAACACCCCCAAGGCCCGCAGAGTGGCCCCTCCGAATTACTCCAGTGTGGCACACAGTCACGGCCTCCTCATTTCCAGGAAGGTCCCCCAAAGCCTCTGCTCTGGGAGAGCTCTAGTCAGAACACCCGCTCGGACTCCTGGGTTCTCCGGGCCTCCCACGCCATTTCCCTCCCTCCCTTCCGATCACTCACCACCTGTGGGGTGCAGGAGGATGTCAGCTGGATTGTGGGGCTTCAGACCCAGAGCAGACAGGGGTGTCTTGGCCAGACCTGGAGGAGAGCGCACTGTGTAGGAAGAAAGATGGAGAGACACGGGAGGTGAGGATACACCATGGTGAGGGTGTGGACTGCTGAGGTCTGGCAGCCCCCTCCCTGCCCATGCTTAGCTGGCTCCCCTGCTCTCCCCTGCCCTCCCCCATCCTTGAGAGACAGCTATGGCTCCTCTCTACAGCCACCATCCCTGTACCTTATGAAGGCCTATTAACCACAGCCCACTCTTCAGTTGTCTTTGCCTTCTATAGATGATCTTCCCACTTTCTCCTTCCCCAGCATCCTGTTACTACACACACACACACACACACACACACACACACACACACACACAGAGAGAGAGAGAGAGAGAGAGAGAGAGAGTCCTTGCAAGATAGGCACACAAATGTAAGACAAACAAAGTAGTCTCAAGAAGAACTTCTTGAAGAGCAGGGCTGAGCATCACAGGCAGGGACCTCACCATCCCTGAGACTCAGAAGCCCCAGGTCACAGGGTCCCATGAAAATCGTGAGAAAGAGTGAGACTTGGTACTGGAGTCTTGGTACTCCGGGAGGAAAACTCAGCTCTCTGTTCTCAAGAGTATGGCTTCCTGGGTGAAATGAGGCTCCTCCTGAGCGGCCCATCGGGGTTACAGGTGTCACGTATCACACAAGGTCAGAAAGGGCCGCCCAGCTTTTTCCCCATCGGCCAAGGACTTTGAGCCGCGCAACAGGGGTGGTATCGTGCCCAGAGTTCAGCGGCAGCTACCGTGAATCCTAGCGCATCTCTGAGAAGTAAAGGAATGAGGACTGGGGCTCCTGTCAGGAATCCCGACAGCCAGAAGAAAACACAGCCCCTAAGGACACATGTGCTCTCCACGGCTCTCGACAGATGAGCTGTAGCCTTCATGGGCCCAGGGTCCAAGCTTGGCTCCATGGTCGACATTTTAAGTATCAAACAGCTACAACAAAGTACCATCCTACTGTGTGAGCAGCAGGCACAGCTTACCCGTGTGTGCTCACCTGCGCGCGCGCGCGCGCGCACACACACACACACACACACACACACACACACACACACACACGGGACATCACAGGGACAGATGAGATCTGCCCCTGTCCTCCACCTTTTCTCCGCCCTAGTCATTCCAACAGACAATGTGTGACAGGCACAACATACACTTCCGCGGCTGAGTCGGGCAAGGCCTTTGCCTGCCCTCTCCGCGTCTCCCTGCCCCGTGCTGCTAACATTGTCTTTTGCTTATAAGCACCCCTCGGTTGTTTAGTAACCTTTGTCACACAAGTGCCCGTGAATGAGAGAATCTCATGGCATCACCATGAGAGAATGAGCTGCTCTGTGTGACCAGGGTTTGTGGGAGAAATCCCCACCCTTGGCTAACATCCGCTGCCCGGCAGGTGCAGCTAAGGGGCAGGAGAATAAGAGGAGAGAGAAGAAATAGGAGAAGCTTTGCTTGGCTTCTCCCCTCCACCCCATCCTCAGCTTCCCAGACCCAAGCAATGTGGCCCTTATAATGAGGCAAGGAGTGGGTGGCTCTGAAGACAGGCACCCTCTCCTTCCTGAGAGAAACATTCCTTGCATTTCTCCGCCTTCCAACCTCTCTCTCCGGCCCTAGGCCTTTTTTTGAAACTTCAGACTCATATATGTCCCCAGGGCACGCATAACTGGCCACTGGAGAGGAGAGAAATCGCAGAACCCAATTCTGGTATAATTACCATAATGTCCATTCCCAGCAGGGGAAGCCCAGGTGGACACAGCGGTGAGGGAAGGAGTTATAAAGGTGAAAGGTTAAGGCCCAGAGATACCGTCTCGTCACAAGAAGCCACATAGCCACTCTGGAGCAGAATGCCCTAGGTATGGACGTCAGCTGCTCTAAATCCAACCTGGGCATTTACGGTGGGCTAATCTGGCCTGGGTTGCCCTAGGGGTTCAGAATACACACTGGAACCCAAAATGTGTGCGAAAATGACACAAAGTAACACTTGAGTTTATTTAGTATTTTGTTTTGCTTTTTTGTTTGTTTTTGTTTTTGTTTTGAGGCAGGTTCTTGGCCCCAAACTTGCAGTCCCCTGCTTCAGCCTTCTGAGTGATAAAATTACAAGTGCACCCCATCATACTTGACTTGATTTATGTATTTATTTACTATTTATTTATTTATTTAAGTTTATTTTTGTTTTGTTTTTCAAGACAGAGTTTCTCTATGTAGTCTTGGAGGTCCTGGAACTTGCTCTATAGACCAGGCTGGCCTCGAACTCACTGAGATCCTCCTGCCTCTGCCTCCCGAGTACTGGGGTTAAAGGTGTGCACCACCACCCTGACTCATTTTTAAAATACCAATATCACTAACTCAATATTTTAGACTGGAGTTTAATAAAAATATTTCTATCATTAATTTCACTGGTACCCTTTGAGAATAAATTCTCTGGGTGCACATATGTGGTATATTCATGTGTGTGCATGCGCCTGTTAGCATACACATGTGGAGACCAGAGGCTGGCATCTAGTTCTTTCTTTGTCTCTTAAGATGGGGGCTGTGGATTCAGCGAGGCTAGCCAGTCAGCTCCTGGGGATCCTCTTGTCTCTGCACCCTAGAGCTGAAACTACAAGTGCTCCTAGCTTTTTATGTGTGGGGGTGCTAAGGATCAAAACTCAGGTTTTCATGGTTGTCTAGCAAGCACCCACTAAGCACTCTTAAAATGTTTCTAATATCATATAATATCTCAACAAAATATTGATATTGAAATATTGACTTTCCTATTGAAATGATAATTTTTCAGGTTTAGTAAAAACTACAATTGATTTCACTAGTGTCCTGACACAGAAAATTTTAAATCACAGGTGTATGTGTGTGTGGTGTGTGTGCATGCACACGTATGCGTGCACACACAGCTTCAACCTACCATATGCCTGGGATAGTGGCCCACACATGCAGGACACATTTTGTCCCTATGAAGGACAGTCATACCCCAGGAGATGCACGGCTAGGCTCAGTCACCTTTTCCTGCCAGCTCTCCTTCTCTCAGGGACTAATGGGCATCTTGGGCCAAGCCCTGTGTACCCAGGCACTGAGCATTGCCCATCTTTACCTTTTCTGCCACCCAAGCCTCTCAGTTGAATCCCTTAACACCTGGAAAGACCCTACACTGCCCCTATTAAAAAAATCCCCCAATTCCTCTCAAGGCACTTCCCCTACAGAAAGGAGCACTGACCACCCTGGGGCTCATTCGGATCTATTGTCTGTCTGTCTGTCTGTCTGTCTGTCCACCGGCTTCTCCAGTGAGTACCCTGGGGTTGTAAACTAAAGACCCTTCCTAGAGGCCAAGGACAGCATGAGAGAAGATAGACCTGCCCCCATTCTTTCTTAGCAGAAGTGACACAGGGTGTCTGAGATGAAGATGCCGGCATACAGATAAGCCAGGCGTCAGAAATGAGAGCAAGGACAAGTCATGATTGTCACACTGGGCAAGACTTTCTTACTAGTGTTGCGGGGGGGGGGGGGGGGCAGTGACTCAATCAAGACAGAAAGTTCCAGAGGACAAGAGTCAGGATCTGCGGTCAAACAACATGGATGCCAAATCTGAGCAAGTCTCATCCTTAGGTTGAGAGCAGACAGTAGAGAACATGGAGCTTTAGAGTAGAGACAGGGGTGGGGCATGGAGCAAAAACCAACCAATTGGTTTTTCCAGTCCTTCCCACCTCTGCTCACTCTCTCCCCTCCCACCCCACCCCTGGACAGTCACAAATACTGCACAAGGTGGGGGATAGGTTTAGCAGGTGCTCTTACCCCCACTGGATGGCGGGCCACTTGGGGAGGTCCTCTCCATCTCCTCGAAGGCCTCCTTGTAGCTATGCAGATGGGGCTGCAGGAGAACAGAAGGGCAGAGAGAAGGAAGTCCTGAGGAGAGGCTCCTTTTCACGTGATCCTGGGCATGAGGACAAGCAGCTTGGCAGCCCACACATCCCCTCCCCAGCCTGACTCTCCACCTCACCAGGGAAGCCCAAATGCTGGCCACTCAATGCCTCAACCACTCCTTGTTGGTGGCTAAGTATGGGGAGTGGCTGCAAGGCCATACTAAAGCCTGGGCTGAAGTATTTCAGAACAGGGCCGCAGAGCTATGCTGTGCTGGAGTCTCTGTAGGAGCATCTGGACATGAAGGGTTTTAACAAACTCCCTGGCAGTTCTTCTGTATATGAAAGTTCAAGACCCACTGCCTCTGACTACTGAAATGTTTTGGCAATGGAATCATTTGGGCACAAAAATTAAACCTCCTAAAAAAAAAAAAGAGTCTCATTTCTCCAAAGTTCAAAAAGATGCTTGCTTGCCAGTCTATCTGACCCACTTTGGACTATAAATCTTGGGATCACGCATGCTACCTCGAGGATGCTTATCACCTCCCTAAAGAACTTTCTTTAGGGATTGAGGAGGGAACTTCGGTTTCAGTGTTAAAGCAAGTAGCTGGGGCACAAACGCTATTGAAGCGAGGAGGCCTTGGGTGAGGATGCAGGGAGGGAGAAATGGCTACATTTACTGATGAAGCAATAGCCGTAGATCCTCAGGCTCCTGGAGACGCACCACGGACTCTGCTTTCTGCTGAGGCCCCAAGACTCATCAGTTCCAGGACTCACCTCTTTGGGCCGCCCTCCAGGATTGAGGGCAATGGTGAGAGCCAGCTCAGGGGAGACGCACTGAACGGGGGAGCGGACCCCAGGACTACGGGGGGATGTGGCCTCTGGAGACTGGTTATCATACTGTCCATCACTGGCTGCTCGCCTCCGCAGTGGGGCTGGGGGCTCTGCGGGCTGCCTCTCCCGAGCCTGAACCCCTGGGAGGAAGGGCAGGACATGGAGAGCAATGAGCAGACTAAATAATGATGCGATCCCATCAAACACCCTTCCTCACACAAAGGCAACACCTCAGCCCAGGGGTTAAACTGGAATGAACCACACTCCCTCAGGCCCTCACCACGCCATCCTGTCCCCAACTCAGCTCAAACCCTAAATTTCCCCTGGTGTCAGGGTTGGGGGTGAGGGTAAAGGCTGCTTAGCCTGGCCTCTGCCTTCAAGACGAGTCTCTCTACTCTGTATAGGATTTAGACCAAGAACACAAAGGCTTGTAACAAGAAACAGATGTCGGCTCCTTCCAGCCCCCAGAGGCAAAAGGCCAGAGCTTCCAGAGGAGGGAGGGGAGGGTCTCCAAGGCAACTGCATCAACCAACAAGCAACATGGAGCCTTTGGGAAGGACTTTTGGAAAGGGCTAAATTGCATCATCTCACACATGGTGCTCCCAGTGGGAAACAAAAGAATGACCAAGTCACACTCTGGAGTCTCCAGCCACAACTGGCTTCTGCGGTGGATTTGATCTCAGGGGTTCCCTGGCTTTCACCCAGTGCACCCCTGAAACCTCTAACTTCCCCTACAGCAGCCCCTCGCAGCCCCCTTCCTCTCAGTAACCCGCGGGGGCTAAGGCCATGGTGGAGGCCAAGACTCCCACCATACCCTACCCTGGCAAAGGGCAAGAAAGTGAGAGCAAGGGACTCCTTCTTCCTGTCTCCACTTCCTGTTTAGCCTACTACAAAGGCTTCCCGTGTTAGCCTCACCCTACCTCCTCCCCATCTTTTCTCCCCACAGCTGGGCCAGGGTATAGAATCTATTATTTCACTGTGCTGGCTTCCAGAACCCTAGAATATTGACTTCCCAGGTCCCAGGAGCCAAGGCCCAACCCTGAGAGTTGGATCCTAGGCTTAATTATTTTAAATTCTCATCTCTGCCTTCATCACCACCAAGGGCTAACTAAGGTGCTTAGGTCACAGGAGCGTGGGACATGAACACACATCTGGGTCCACCTCCTTAGTCACAAGTGGCAGTGTGTACATGTATACATGCATGTATAAACACACACATGCAATGCTGGTCCTTAGGAACACAGCCAGGACAGCCTGGTGGGCCTTGCCCTTATGCAGCCTGAATCCCCTCTCATCCTCTATAGTGGGATCTGCATAGCCCAGGTGGTCCCCAACCCTTAGTTTCCACAGCCACAAATGGTTGCCATGGACTACATTGCCCAGGAAGCCTTTCTGCTTAATGTGAATAGGAAAGTGCTGACTGGGGCAGAGTCACCTCACTCACACACAGTGACTGTGCAGATAAACATGCTCTGTGATGAAGGTGACTATGGTGCAGATGCACGCGCTCTGTGATGGAGGCTCTGGGGACCTATCAGGGGCTATCAAGACCAGCTGCCAACAGTACAAGTGAGATGCAGAAGGTAGAAGGCATCCCAGAGTCTCCACTCCGGGCCGTGACTCAGGCAGCCCTGCCTACCTGTACAACGGAGACCAAAACAGACTGCATCCTGCTGGTCCCAAACTGCTCTGCTCAAAGCAAACAACCCCCTAACCTCAGAATGCCCTGCTTTCCAGAAGAGAGAGGGAAAAAAAAAGAGGGTGTGTCAGTCCTGAGCAGCAGTCCCAGGCTGCTGGGAGAATCTACAGGGAATAGAGAGAGGAGGTGGCTCTGGACATCTGGAGCCATCCCGGACACTGCCAGCAACTGTAGGCTCCCAGAACTCAGGCAGCTTCTGGCCTCAGGCCCTCTTCTCTTTCCTCCTGCCAGGCCCTGCCAAGCTCAGGCCTCTGGGACGTGTGGGCCAGCCCTAGTCCTGCTTCTGGGTTCATTCCTGGCAGGAGCATTAGAGACCACTGCTTTTCTAATAACGTTATGACAAAGGAGCAACTTCACAGAAGTTCTGGGGTGTGGAGTTGAATTCAGCCCCAAGGTGGAAGGAAACGCCTAAGAGTTGCCTTTGGTTCCAGGGGTACCACCACTCCCCACTCCGACATACACTCCACAACCACAGTCTCTGGCAATCTCTCCTTTTTTTTTTTCAAGAGTAGCCACTTCTTTGTTTGGGGGTCTTGTGCTAGCTTTTAGAAAGGAGGCCTGTTTCCACTGGAGTCGCCCTCTAGGAGGGACAGAGAACATTCTCACCCATCCTTTCCTGGCTCCCTCCAGGCCCAGGGCCAAAGGACAGTAGTGAGGACCAAGGCTGCTCTACATGTGTGGTGGGCCACCAGCAGAGGACACAAACCGGCCCAAGGTAGACGGGCACTTGAAAGCAAGCATAACTGAGTCATTCAGCTCCCTTCCCTGTCACTGCCAGGATGGCACATGGGGGCATGCTCTGCCCAGGGGCTGCAGTTGAACCAAACGATCTCCAAAGAGCAAGGAGACTGCGGGGCAAAGTTTCCCTTTACAGAAGAGGAAAGACCCCCACACTGCACTCCCACAGGGCTGACCATTCCCAGAAAGTGGTCCATGGCACCAGCGGCCAGTCAGGGCACTCAGGCTTGGAACACAGTGTCTCACTGTTGTCCCCTTGGCAAGACCATAGCTAACCCAGAGTGCCTGGAGAGCTATGGTCCCTCTCTTTAGCCTCTTTCTATGAGAGGGAGCCTGACACAGTAGAGAGGAGAGAAGAGCCTTATTGTTCCTCAGCCAAGTGGTGACTCTGGACACCAGCTGACAGCCAGGGCTAGAGAGAGAGAGAGGGAGAGAGAGAGAGAGAGAGAGAGAGAGAGAGAGAGAGAGAGAGAGAGAGAGAGAGAGAGAGACCGTGTACAGCTCTCTCTCATCCCCAAAACTGTATAAACATCCAGAGGGGGCCTGCTCCCTGTGCAGACTCCACTGAGGATTCCTTAGTCTCCTGGCCTTTCTCTCCAAGCCTTTGCTTGCTACATGCACACAGACAGAAGTTCTTTCCTCCCTCCCTCCCTCTTTCTCTCTCTCTCCCTCTCTCAATCTCTCTCTCTCTCTCTCTCTCTCTCTCTCTCTCTCTCGTTCTCTCTCTCTCCCCCTCCCTCTCTCTCTCACACACACTGAAAGAGATAGACAGACAGATAGACACAGAGAGACAAAGAGTATGTGTCTTAGACCCCACAGGGCCAGAGGAAGCCATCAATGGTTCTGGAAGGTTCTCCCCAGCAGGCGGCTGCGTAATGAGAAGTGGCATACTCTGATGGTAAGAAACTGGCCTTTCAACCCATAATGCCCCGAAGCCAGTCCTGGGTCGGCCACTCAGGGTTATTTCACTCGGGGCTGACTGGCACCTGATCTTCCGCAGCACCTTATGAGAACAGGTGGTCACCACAGCCTGACAGCTGCCACATACACCTAGGAACAGTGTTGCGTCGGCCCTGTCCTGACTGCCCCCAGGACAACACTGTGCCTAGGGGAACAGTTCTCTGCCCAAAGTGCTCTATGGGTCCCAAAGCTAATAGCATGCATGTGCATATACATATCTGTACATAGAGATCGATGCGTGTGTGTGTGTGTGTGTGTGTACATTCATACAAACACACACATACTGCCACTCTTCAGAGTCACCCCGATAAATCCCCAAAGTCACACAGTGTCACTACAGCCATCAACACAGACCTTCCACAGACCCAGATCCTGGTCGCCCCCACCCCCACAGACCCAGCTCGTCTTTCCAGCCTTCCGTTTTCCAAAAGACTGGATTCCTCAGCTCCAGGTGGTAGGACAGGGTGTCCGGCTTCATGCCCAGGGCTCCAGAAGTAAGGGGATCCAGGATGGAAGCCACCTGCTGGGCCAGGGCACTAGAAAGCCACACGCATCGCATCACACTAGCAGCTCCAGGGCAAGCCATGCCAGCTCCCCCCGGGACAGGGCCACTGTCCCATAACCTCAACAGGACCCTGGGCCCAGTTTAACACTACATTCCCCACTGCTGGGCCAAGAAAAAAAGGCAGAGGGAAGAGAAAAGAGAGGGAAGGGCAACCTGTCAAAGCCATCTTCCGAGTATCAGGGGGCTGCAGCAGAATGGTCCATAGGGCAACAGACACCGCACTGCCCTCCGGGTTTAAAGATGCCTTTGCCTGGAGCTGCTTACGGCTGTGACATTGGAGAAGCCTGGGTGCATGGTCTCCTCCCTGTTACTGGCCTCCAGGCAGGAGTGAGCAGACAAAGGAGGAGAGCCTAGCAGCCCGCATGTCACAGAGGCTGGGGGCACTAGCTGGCAGGGTCCTAGACTAACAGGAGCGTGATGGAGGGCTCACACACCGGCGGCAAGTTGTAGCACCATGCCACATACACGCGGCGGGTTTTTCAGACTGAGAATGTGGGTTCTGAACAGTGGCGACACCATACGGGCACAGGCAAGGTGAGGCCACGGGTCCTAGGGTCAGAGGAGTGTACCGTGCAGCAGTGACTGGGCCACCTCTTCCTGTCTGACACGTGGTGGTCCCAGGGAAAAACACAGTTCTGAGTCTTGGCCCTGAAGTCCAAACCATCCCACCTGGGGTGGCTAAGAATAAGAGACTGGGCACCTCACTGGAAAGACCAACATCTCCACCGGGCACTCTGAAAGTTCCTCTAATTACTTCCGACCTTGTGCCCAGCAGACAAGGCCAACTAAAAAGCATCAGGTCTTCAGCCAAGCTGAGAAGGGGGGGTGGGGCTAAGGGAGGAGAAAGGGAAAGAGGACTAGGGAAAGCAGGAGAGGGAGGAGGATGAGGAGGGGAGGAAAAACAGAGCCACCTTATAGGAGAGTAGGGAAGGCAGGAGAGAAAGGAAGGTGAGGAAGGTTTGGGCAGAACCTCATGGTCAAAGGGGATCAGAGGGAAGCTGGAAGCTGAAGCAAGGGTCCACAGCCACAAGGAAGGAGAATCAGAGGAACCCACCAGAGATGGAAGCAGATCGGAGCCGGTGCAGAGGAGAGGGTCGAAAGCTGCCACTCTGCCTCAGGCCCTGCAGTCTGGCATTGTACGCTGTCCACCCACACCCCAGGGGAGCCGGCAGGAAGGA